TATCCCCACTCCTATTCAATATAGCTCTGTAAACATTAGCCAGAGCAACTAGACAAGAGAAAGAGATAAAAGGAATAAAGATAGGAAAGGAAGAAGTTATCATTATTTGCAGATGACATGGTACTCTACATAGAAGACTCAAAAGCTCCATCAAAAGACTTCTAGATTTAATAATTAAATTCAAATTCAGTCACTTAGCTGGATACAAAGTAAGCACTCAAAAAATCAATAGCATTTTCTGTACCCAAATAACAAACTCTCCAAGACAAAAATTAGGGAAACAACACCATTCACAATAGCATTGGAAAAATAAAATACTTAGGAATCAGTCTAACAAAGGAAGTAAAAGATGTACACATTAAAACTGTAGTACTCTGAAAAAGGAGATTGAAGAGGATATTAGAAAATGGAAGGATATTTCTTGCTCTTGGGTAAGAAGAACCAATATAGTAAAAATGGCCATACTGCCAAGCCTGTTATACAGATTTAATACAATCCCAATCAAAATACCAATAGCATACCTCACAAAACCAGAGAAAACATTCCTAAAATTCATTTGGAACCGGAAGAGACCTACAATAGCAAAAACAATTCTGGACGATAAAGGCAAGGCAGAAGACATCACAATGCCTGACCTGAAATTACACTACAGAGCTACTGTGATGAAAACAGAATGATGCTGACAAAAAACAGACCCAAGGATCAGTGGAATAGATTAGAAGATGCAGAAAGAACTGCAACACACTCACCCACCTTATCTTTGACAAAGGGGCCAAATGCCTTCACTGAAAGAAAGACAGCTTCTTTAATAAGTGGTGCTGGGAAAACTGGCTTTCCACATGCTGAAGACTAAAACTAGATCTATGTCTCTCATCATGCACTAAACTAAAATCAAAATGGATCAAAGATCTAAATATTAAAAGAAAAATCTGAATAGGTAAAACTCTTGAAGACACAGGCGTAGGCAAAGACTTTATGGACAAAAGCCCGATCACATGGGATGTATTACAAAGAATCAACAACTTGGATCTCATCTTATTAAAAAGCTTTTATACAGCAAAATAAACCACCAACAGAGTGAAAAGATAACATACAGAGTGGGCAAAATTTTCTGCCAGCAGTTTCATAGACAAAAGACTAATACCTAGAATATACAAAGAACTGAAAAAAATCATATCCCCAATATAAAGAACTGAAAAAATCAGAACTGAAAAAATCAGATTTAAAGACCCAATCCCCAAATGGGCATTTGAGATGAACGCATACTTCTCAAATTAACAAACACAAACAGCAAATGCATATAATGAAGAGATGTTCAATGTCACTGGTCATTTAAGAGATGCAAATGAAAACAATGTTGAGAGTCCATCTCACCCAGAAAGAATTGCTGCTATGGTGAAATCAACCAGTAACAAAGGCTGGCGGGGCTGTGGGCAAAGAGGGACCCTGCTCCACTGTGAATGGGAGTGTAGACTGGTGCCACCACTGTGGAAATCAGTGTGGAGATTCCTAGGGCTAGAGGCTCTATTTTGCCTAGTTATTCCCCCCTTGGTACTTTCCTGAAACAATTAAAAGCATCATACCACAAGGATAGATGCACACCCATGTTTATAGCAGCACAGTTTGTAATAGCTAAATCTTGGAGACAGCTCCAATGCCTATTAACTGATGAATGAATAAAGAAGACATGGTTTTACTGTACAGTGGAGTATTATTCACCCATAAATAAGGATGAACTCGAGACAGTTTTAGGTAAATGGATGCACCTTTTAAGAAACTGTATTAAGTGAAATAAATTTGACACATATATGTAAATATCACATTGTCTTTCTGATGTGAGAAACTGAAAGTGTAAATAAAACCCAAAATGTATAAAGGTATTGGGAAATGGGAAGAAAATGTTCAAATGGGAAGGGGAACTAGGGAGGGGAATTTTCTCATAGTTGTGAAGACTGACAATAAATAGAAAAGTTTATAAACAAGACAACTTCAGAGAGCATTACGTGCACTGGAGGAGAGAAATCAAGGATGTGTATTTGAGAATGGTGAGTTTGGAGCCAAGGGGACGCCATGGCCGTGTTCATTGGTCTTTCCGCCCATCCCCTGTTCCTGAGTGCATTTGTCCCCCAGTAGCGCATGCCCATGACTCTTTTCAGAGACTTCCTTTGGGTGCTGGAAAACACATCCTAAGCGAGTGCAGTGGGGAGTGCCTAGGGTTCACGTCAACATTTCCCTGTTTCCCTCCAGCCTTGACCAAGGACTGACTGATGCAGGGATGTGGAAGCTCAGCTCCTTGGCCCGAGTCCAGACCCTGTTAGACCTCAGAGCTCCTGTGGGTTTGCGCTGAGGTCATAATGTCCTTCGAAGTCACTTCTCATGAATAATTGTCTCAGGTTTTCTTCTGGGACCCCTGACCCAGGATGTGGGGATTGTTCATTTAGACTGCTGAGTGGAGAAACCCTCCTTGGGGAGATGCCAGGTGAGCTAAGACCAAGATGACCAGAAGAAACAGTCCCAGGAAGATCTGGGAGCAGAACATTCCAGAGGCCACAGGAGGGAAGGGGCTGTGGGCTTGCAAGGAAAAGACAGACACGAGACCAACGCGACCTCACAGTGATGGAGGAAGGGGTGGAAGACGCAGCCTCACAGCTCCGTTAGAGTGCGAGGCTGGCCTGCACTTGCCATGAATGTTCTCATCTCCACTGGGCAGAGGCGGGAGTTGGGGGAGGCTGAGCAGCCTTTCTTCTCCCCATTCTCCTACATAAGCTGTGGAGTGAGGCCTAAAAGTGGAGCAAGCCCACCTGAAAGGTCGTGGGCCCCAAAGAAAGCTGAGGACACCTCATATCTTTCTGCTGCAGGGCTTAGACAATGGCAGTGATCAAACACATGCAATGATTAGGGAGCCAAGAAGTTCCTGGGAGGACACGACTCAGCTGTCCATTGGTGCTTTGACCTAAGAACAGCGCCCTTGTGGTGCTCGGAGAGAGACTGATGGCACAGCAAGCCTCGGAAATACCCTCACTGAAGCCTCCCAGGGAACGGATGGACAAGGACACTTCAAAGTCTCACTAGGGCTTCGGGTGGGAAAGTCCTCATCCACTAAATCCATAATTTGGTTGTCTACCATCAGAATGCAACTGTGACCTTTCTTCACTGGTGCAACAGGACTTTAGCTTGAATTTGCAGAAATAAAACAAATGATGCAGATGAAATGTGAGGACAGTTTCTTAGTGCCTAGAATGAAACTTATTCTTCAAACAAAGCTATCATGTTCAAGTTGTTAAGATTTTTACATTTTATTTTCACTCCAAGAGTCCAGGTGCACCCAATGATGGATAATTAGTGTACTTTCTTCCTGACTCATTTTATTCTTTGTACCTGGTGGAATTTTAAGAGAAAGATTCTAATTAAATTTATCCATGTCTAAAAGCCTCTACATTTTTTCCTACTCTTTCTATTTCATTTTGTCAATATTTGGGTTAAGCCATCTGCATTGATTTCAGTGAGGTTCTACCCAGTGACCTTCCTCAAACAAATGGCAGTGTGCCAGAGCGGAAAGACATCGTCTGCCAACCCCTCCTAGGCTGACATAGCACTCACCTGACTTCCTTCATCCTTGTTCTCTAATGTTCAACAGGAGGAGGAGTATCCAAGACCCAGAGCTGTACTGATTAAGTCAGGAGACCAAGTACTTGCTTTAGTCCTCACATAGAGTGGAGCTACTCAGCAGGGCTGTGCTGTAAGTAACGTCCTGTCCATCAATTTGTGGGGTCTTCTTTTATTTTTGAGTTGTGTAGCCCTTTATTAGCAACCAAAATAGAAGGTATCTATTGCACAACATGGGTAGTAATTGTCTATAATTTGAGATTTATTGTATTCTAATACAAATAATTTATGAATGCAATTTCTTCACCCTTTTTCATTTGCGTACAATTTGCAAAACTATTCTGAAAGTGGGATATATGTGCACAAGTCTGCAAAGAGTGCAAATTTAGGATATGGTAAACACTTTACAAGTTACTTTCAAAAAAGTGTCTGCCACCACTTAGGGGCTGCATCCCTGAGGGTCCGGAGGCTTCTCAGGTCGAGTGGACCGCGAGTGCTCCAGCTGCGTAACCCCTGAGCTGTCTCGCCACTTTCTACACTGCTGTGACTGGGCACAATTCAAAAAGGAAAAGGTTATTCATGCC